GATGTCCTATACATGTTCAGCGAGGTACCTTCCTTTACTGAGCTGTCATTGTACAAAGCAATATCCTTGCTTCCAATACAGTTGTTGCTAGACAAAAATCATTATCCTTTATAGCTGGCCTACACTCTGAAATGTATATGCTTTCTGGCTTTTTAGCCCATTCGGCAATTAGAGTAGAAACAGATGCTGTAGGGATATTTCATTGTCAAGTGATTGCTTAAACTAATATTGATCRTGCTTCTTAGCTGCTTGGCCTTGTTGTTCAAATGTGGATCTCTTAGATCCACTGATATTTACCTCATTCARTGGCTACCAGTAGCAATGTTTGGAAGAATTTTATTGGTTTAAGCCCATTGTGACAACTCAATTGCCTTGCTTCCACAGGAAAATTTTGTGTTATCTAAATGACACACATGGCCACACGTACCAGGTACTTCTTYGTGACCACTGTTTGAAATCAGACTTTGGGAATCTGATCCTGTGCAGACCTAAGCAGCTCAGCATTTACGGGAACTGGATGCTGTCAGTGTCTCATGATGCTGGCATATTGAGGAATGAATGAGCGTGATGGAAGTTTTCTTGCAGGTTTCTTGCAGCCAACCTGCTCTTCTGTTCCGACTTGCACCAACCTTASCATAATCCTGATTCTTTCTTGACATCCTGCCAGTCGCTCCAGCTTCTGAGGTGCTTGTGATGCTGGCAAGTATCCAGAAACAGAAGCCAAGACTTAAATTTCTGTTTCACACTTTCTGAAAGAAAGGAAAGTTTTAAAAATATATTTTATGTAAGTAACTGCCTGAGTCAACTGAACTGACTGTGCAGATTATCTTGGCAAACAAACCAGAGAGAGAAATAGCTTAATCTAACATTATTGCACTCAAGCAATCTGSGCATTTTCCTAGCTTGACTGCTCAGGCAGCTTGCACTTGTATGTAATTACTCAAGCTGCAGGAACTCCCTTTGTCAGGCACAGATAACTTTCCTTAGTTCCTACAAAGAGAATGCAAAACGTGAAAAAGAAGAATTTAATAGACCTTTGTCACTGAGCTATCTGACACTGTATCGTTTGGTAAGCTCTGATTTAGAGGCAGACAGCTGGCACTAATACCAGGAACCAAGCAAAAGACAAAATGAATCATCCTATACAGCCAATTAATTTACATTCCAGCAACTGATAGCTATTTACTGTGCTTGCTGGCATGATAGGGGAGTTGGCTACTTCTTAGAACAGTTCTGGGGAGATAGGAATCCTTGACAACTCTTTTCTATTACTTTTACATTTGCTTTCTCATCTGTACCCAARTGTTTTGTTACTTTGTTTGTTTCTGTGAGAGATTAAAGGGCACATGCCCTTTTCTTCCATGCCCTTTTCTCACATTTATTTAGTCTCTGAACTTTATTTTTCCAAAGTTGCAACCATACTTGTTTGGTTTTTTTTTTTCCTTAATCTGGAAACTGTAAAATAATAGACTAGATTTTGAATTGTTTTCAGTGTGCACAGTGGGCAATGATACCCTTGCGGGCTAGCTATGAGTTTGGCACTATGGCAGGCTCTCAGCTTACTTTTTCACCTCCCATCTGTTCTTCCATAGGAGTCATGCTGCTGTTGCTTTAGTCTCTTCCAGATTTTTTCTGACTTCATTCAACTCTGGTGCACTTTGTATTTGTGCCAATAAGAATCTACTGGTATTAAATTCCATTAATGCATGAGTAATTAAGCTGATGTCCTCAGTGCCTGGAATAGCATCTTGAAGAAGCTTATAGGCTTTGCTGCTTTGTTTTGGCTGGATGACAGGGTGCCAGATGTTTTTTGTTCTGTCAAATAGGCTTATGACTTGTTAAATAGTAAGAACCTTAAAATTGACTCATCCTTTTACAGGTATGCTTGAAATTTGGTCTTTTCAGGTAGTCGAAATTTGATATTTAGAATCTTGGTTTTATTTGCTCAATTCTCTTCTCCTCATCAGGTTAATTTTTTGTTTAGATTTTCTCTTGGTTGCATGAATCTTTGAGCCAGCAAGGACAAACAGTGGATATTCTGTCCTCCTGCACTCTGTGGTGGCCAGTGTTAGACTGTATTACAATCCAGATTCCCTCAGTTTAGGAGATTCTGGGGTGGTGGATCCTGTGGATAGGTGGAAACCGATACCTGCTTTTCATTCCATTTCAAGCACATGCTGGCATTAAACAAAATTTAAACAACTATAGGCCCTAGCAGCTCCAGAGTGTCATCTGTCACTGGAAAGCCCTGCTTCTGGGATGACAGGGTTAATGTGGCTCTGAGATCAGCTTCTCCTTTCAAATGGATCCAGTTTTCTGAGCAACTTCTTGAATTTCATTCATTCCTGTCATAACTATCCATTTTATGACCTTCTTTCTAATACTCTGCTGCGATCCCAGCTGGAAGTGGTTCCCAGATTACATCAAACCTAATTATGCTTTGATTGATTTATCTAAACATCTTGACTTTTTGAAATTCAGCTTGTATCCTTCCATTTAGGAACATATAATTTGAGATTTAGAGGGTTAAAAGATGAAGCTGCAAATACAGATTTCTTTCCCTATTTGCAAGTGCCAGATGTGCTCAGAAGATCTTGATGTTGTCATAGTCTTGTCTTAAAACATGTCTTTCRATTGTAACAGTTATGATTCCCTGGGAGAAAAATTTGGAGGATGATTTTTGGAGCTAGGGGTTTCGTTTTGTTTATTTGACTTGTGCGATGGACAGATAGCTGTGTGATAGCTGTCATCCTGTAAATCCCTGTCCCAACATATGTAGAAGTGATTCTTTGGTTAAATGGTTAGATACAGGGGATTATGTTGTATCCAGTCAGATACTGGCTGTGTGTAGGAGCTGGAAAAAAGGATGACTTTACAGAATGTTAAAATATATAGTCTGCCCCAAGGGACCTTAATGTGGGTAATCAACTGAGGATCTGCAGGAGCAGTGTAACTGATCTGGAGATGGGAAGGTCTGGTGTAGGGCATATCAGTTGCAAGGAACATTTCTATGACTGGTATGGATTTCAGCCACATAATGCCTATCTGATAAGACGTGTATCTGTGGGAGACAGTAGATTTACTGTAAGTGAGGTAAATCTGACTTTGTTGGACTATGACAGGCTTCTTGCACATGCACAAGTCCCTTTGTAATATGTATACTGCACAATTGATTTCTACACGCACAGTAAGTCATCCAGGGCTTCCCAGAAATGTCTGATTTGCTGCACACATGTGCAGTGATTATGCAGCATTTGAGTAGTAAGTCCAGTGCATCCCAGAAATATTTGATTTTTATGCTGCCCTGTGCGGAATTTATGTTAGATTCAGGTCAAGCAGCATGTCCAAAAGTCTTCAACATAGGGAAAAGAAAAGGGATAGGAGCGGAGAGGAGTGGAGAGGAGAAGAGGGGGAGGAGGAGAGGAGAATGCTGCCAGGTAAAATCAGGAAGAATATGAACATATCTGGGGAAATCCAAGTATACTATTACCCTGGACATGTCCAGGGAAATTCCAACATAATGTAACTTCTGAAGGGCTGTTTAATCATTTAATATGTCTGACAGCTTCCACTGTGGTATGCTGACTTTGATTCTGAAGAGCAAGCCTTGAAAGGGAGACACTTCTCCAAAACATATCCTTAGAATAAGATGAAGGCTTCTCACTCCTCACTCAAATGGCATTTACTGGCATTAAGGACTTTTGCAACAAAACCTGTGTCTTTCTGTAAGCCTTGGGGTAAGATTTGTTCACAGAGGTTGGCATGGGATTTTATTACTCAGATTTAGAGCTTCTCTGCAAAGATCCTTCTGATCGAGTCCGTCTATGGAAACCTCTCAAAGAGGGCTAGGAGCCAAGCTCTAAGCAGGTATCCACACTTGGAGTCCCTAAAGGACATATGCTGTGCTTTTGATTCTTACCTCCTTAGGCGTTCAGGCATGCACGATAGAAGCATCTAGAGCCTACACAGAAATATAAAAATAAAACAAGCCATGCAATAACATTGGATCATTGTCCGTTTTGAATTTTATCAGTTATCATGAAATATTATTACTTCTTCTTTGTGTTTGTGTGTGTGTTTGTTTTTTGTTTTTTTTTTTTACTGCAACTCAGAGGTTATTTTATGTCCTGCCTTTTGCCTTTCCAGAACCTTTCTTAGTTTAGTCTAAAGCAGGCAAATTAAATGGTACCTAACATCCATTGTGTTGGGTGGTGAGATAACCATCAGGGGTATATTTAGAAAATGTGCAGAGGGCAAGACAGGAAAGGTGGATATCCCTTTCTCAACCTGTTTTTGACCTCACCCAATTTAATAACTGAAGAATTGTGTATTTTCTCACAATTACATTTGTAGAGGGTGATCAGAGACAGCTGTTAAGATGTGTCGTTGTTTAACAATGAATGCCAAATATTCCTGTGAGAGTGTTTCCCAGCAGCTTTTGACCTGCGGAAAAGAATTATACTTGCAAAGATGGGAGTATTGTCTTTCAGCCCTCTCCCTGCAATCAGAATTTTGCATTATAAGTAAGCCTTCGGAATCCTATCCAAAATAATCAAAGTTAAAAAGTAATTATTATTTGAGCCTATGTAATCAATAATTTGGTATGCTGTACTCATGCARAAAAAGGAAGAGTGGCTTCATCACTGAACACTGTTCATGTTCACATAGACAAAATTTGAGATATGCAGCAAGTGAAAGAGCCTGAAGCTTTTCTGTGCATTTCTGATGCTATGTTAGAAGCAATTGTGCTATCATGTTGCTAAGGAAAGCATAAAGGCCAGGTCCTGCCTAGTGCTTGTCATGGCCTGCTTCCCTGTCGGCTTTACCCAGGCCTGCTGGGTGAATACAACCAGCCTTCCAGGCACACATGGAAAGGAGGACTACAAAAATGGTGCTTGTGAAACCACCTAGTTGCCATTTTCTGTATAGCTGGTAATCAAACTTAGGAGCACATGTTCAAAACTGCCAAGGTCATTTAACTTGGGSCCTTTTTATTACAGGGACCTGAAACTGGACAATATTCTTCTGGATGCTGAAGGCCACTGCAAGCTGGCTGACTTTGGAATGTGCAAAGAAGGGATTCTGAACGGAGTGACAACCACCACCTTCTGTGGCACGCCTGACTACATAGCTCCAGAGGTACTTTTTACCCTGCACTAGGAATAAAACATGTATTGTTTTAGATCTTTTTTACAAGTAAATGAAATGAGATTACACATTCCTATGTGATCTTGCAGAAATCTGTTGCTTTGGATGGTGCAAAGAACATGCTCTGTGGGTAGGAGTGACCACGTGTGGCTTTTCTGTTATTTCTTCCCTGAGCCTAACAGTATTCTTCTGCTCATTCTCATTTCTGATGCAGCATCGCTCTGAAAGCACTTAATAGCCATGAAGGTGCTATATGCAATGGAGATCTTTATTAGATATGAAAATATCTTTAATCTTCAGTGAGACCTAAAAGGTGATATTCTGATGCTAGGAAGCATAATTTGTTACCATTTTGCATTAGATCTTTGTGGGAATATCATTGTTTCATTTCCTTAAAGTACTGGTGAGTGAAAGATACTATTTTAGTGGTATGGTCATTCATATGGATGAGTAGGAAATGCAGAAAAATAGGATGTTGAAAAAATGAAGAAAAATAGGAGCTTTTCATATGGATGTTGCGTCTCACTTGGCAACACCCAAATTGATTTGAAGGAGTTTATTGGATGGATAAAAGAARTGGCACGTATTTGTGTTGGTTTTACATATGCTAAATTTGGATGAATCTGCATCATTTCGTTAGACTGTCTCCTGGACAGACTTTATCTGTTGAGTTTTGTTATTAACCTTTTGCCAAAGACTCAGTGCAACGTTTCATTGGTGTGTGTTTCATCAACCATAAAGTAGTAGTGGTCAAAAAATGATAGCTTATTGTTTGCTGGAGATGATGTCTGAAATTCATATTGATAGCATTAGTGGCGGTCAAGCTCAGTAGCAGTAGAGCTAAGGTGTGAATCATCTTGAAACTCCTAGGAGCAGTGAATGGGTGTTTTATAGAGTTTGAGAAGAACTCTGGCAATAAAAAAAGGCAAACGTGATGATTTTGTTTTTGTAGAACATTTTTCTGATTCTGTTTGAGAAGTGAATCCTTTGATGACTCCTTTAAAAATTTGATGACTCCTTTAAAAATTATTGCTAAAAATCAAGCACTAGTAAGGTTCCAGGAGCTTTTTCACAGAGTCAGTAATTTAAGCTTCCCTTTTGTTATATGAGTTGCAGCCACCTTATCTCCTGTCTCTATTTGCATCATGCTTGCTTCTCTCAATTTTCTTTACCAAAACCCAAGTTCCAAAAAGTGACTGGATCAAGGAAAAATCCTGATTTTTAAGATTATTAATTTCAGTTAATAATCTATGTAAAGTTCAATATCTAAAAATCTAATTGGGATCCAAGCATGTGGATTCAAAAGTTAAACTCATTTCTGCTTTTATATTAAGACTGCATTTGGTTTTATATATACAGCAAACTCGTGATTCCTTAAAACAGCCCTCTAGAAACGCACTTCACTATGTGGATTCTGCCCCTCATACTAATATTGTGTACGGGGTCCGGGAGGTTGTTGCCATCCCAGAWCATTTAAGCCATTCAGCTTCAGCTTCTGCAGTCGCCACCTCTTTTTTCCCTGGTCCCGTGTCCTGCTGAAGCATTGCAGCCAAACTGCAAGCTGCTTTTCAGGGGAGAGGAGCCAAGAAGGAGCCTTGTTCCTTGTACAGCAGCAGTTGTGTAACCCGATGTAATACAGGAATAATCCGTCATGCCAAGTGACTACTCCCCACTAAAGGGGTTCACTACAAGGCTGAACTTCTGCCACACAAAAAGTTGTGGGCATTTTTTGTTTTTCTGAAAGCCAAGGCAATTAAAGCAAATTCTATGGCCCTGTAACATGCAGTATTTTAATGATGTAAAAAGGACTTCAGCAAAGAGGCCTTTGGCTTCCTTCAGTCCTACTGAAGGACAAGTATAAATCCCTCGGATGATCTCTGGGCAGCAGTACAAACTGGTCTGGTTTGTTTTTGTTCAARAAAGGGATGAGGGAGTATTTCGTGTTTTCCACCACTCTGTTTTGTATATAGAATTTTTTCCTCTTATAGCACAGCATGTCATAAACAGTTGGGAAGGATATACAGCTCTTGCTCATGAATATGCCCTTTGCCTCACGGGACCGATAAACTCAGTGCTTCTGAGAGCTACACACGGGCACTGAGCTCTGCTTGCTGGGGCCACTGAGTCCCATCCAGGCATTAGCAGGAGAGGGGCTGTGTTGGTTTTAATAGAGTAAATGTGCAGCTGAGAGGCTTTTCTGACTTGCTCCCTCTCCTGTGCTCCACCAGATCCTCCAGGAGTTAGAATACGGCCCGTCAGTGGACTGGTGGGCTCTGGGCGTTCTCATGTATGAAATGATGGCTGGGCAGCCCCCCTTCGAAGCTGACAAYGAAGATGATCTCTTTGAATCCATCCTTCACGACGACGTCTTGTATCCCGTCTGGCTCAGTAAAGAAGCCGTCAGCATTTTAAAAGCCGTGAGTCCTCAATTACTTGTTTGTCTCCTCCTCCTGCTCTCCTTTTTGTTGTTGATGTTGTTGTTTGTTCTTTTTGATCAAAATTGAATTTGCCTAAAGTCGTTGAGAACAGCCACCGTGGGGAGTTCAAGCTCAGTTCAGAGAGCCACTGCGAGGAGACTGGGGCCTGGGATGAATTACGCTGCTTGTGGGAAAGGAACACGATGTTTGTATTCCAGGCCGGTGCACGGCGCGCACTAGTGTTTCAGGGAAAACCCGGGCGGCAGAGCCTGCACGCTGCACGGAGGGAAGCATTAAAGAAACAGTGTCAGTGAGCTCACGGAAAGGGGCCACCCTCCTACCTTTTCTCCCCCATAATCAAGCCCTTCTGAAAGCCTCTGCTGCCAAAAGCTGAGTGTCTACGTCTTCCTTCACCTAACCACTTCACAAGCAGCCTTCCTCCAGTGTTGCTGTTTCTGCCCTGGTTGGTAGCTTATATTTATGACGAGTGACAGACAGAAATGTTTGCCACCAATTGCAGCAGTTATTTTACTCAGGTGGGTTGTGGCACTGGGCTCCTTCTCCATCTAAACTTCGCCAAAGTCCCAGAGATTTCCTTTATGGTGTTTTGGTTTTAGTCTCTACAAGATCTGTTCCCATGCACAGGCTTCTTTCTGAGAATCTAGATTAGCTGAGCTATCTATTGTTCTGAATGATGGAAACACTGCTTGGAGGGGAAAAGTTAGCTGATAACCCTTGATAAAATGTGTAGTGACAGAGCATTGCATGGACTGGGAAAAGGTACCTATTTCACACAGGAAGCAGAGAAACAGACTTAATAGCTGCCCTGAGTGCCTCAGTGGTGGCAACTTGTGAGAAGTCTGACTACTGATGATATACCTTAATCTTAACCACACAAATGCAGACATGGAATTGGGCTGCGTGTTTAAACAGTATTTTTGTGAATGTGAGTAAAAGGGCATTGAACACTAGTTTCTTTTAGGCCTGACTTTACTATAAACATTTACTTTGATTTTCATGAGACTGTTTTCCTAGTTCTACTTTTTGATAATAGTATGATTATTTATATTCTAGCCTAGTCAATTTTTAACAATTTCTAGCTAATCCTTAATGCCATTTTAAACCTTAAAAAGAGAGCCGCATCCATTGAATAGATTTGTACTCTAATAAGARATTCCTCATCAGACAAGATGCCTTGACTGGCACAAATTATATAGAAATGAACAGAGAYGTGCCAGGTTACATCATAGAAAGAAAGAATTCCCTTGCAGTTAGTAACCTGCTGCCTATACAGCCAGGGTGTGAAACGAGTTTGAAGCCTGTGCTCTTCACCTCACCTTTTTCTACATTCTATTCAAGAAGAGCAGGAGAAAGGGAGGAAAGAAAGGGCATCTATGTGTTTTACCACTGAATGCTAGCAAGGGATTAGGTTTGGAATACTTCACTTCCTCACATTGTGCTGAGATATGGATTTGATTCTTTAGAAACTGTATTTTTACACTCCTCCAAATGGCATGTAAGGAAAGTGCAATAACATGACATTCACTTGTATTGAGTAACAATGGGTTTTATTCTCTAAAGAAGCATTTCATTCATTATTTCTAAGAAAATACTTCTGGGGATAATTGTTCAGCTCACTATTGCAAGGCAGCACGATGCTTATCCCATGAAATCCCACAAATCTTATTAGTCCCGTTCCTCTGAATTGACAGGAATTGCTATTTAAAATTCTTCCTGCCTTGTTAGGAAAACAATCCTGCATTGAAACTGGAATGCATACTGCTGACAATAAGGCAAGTACGATACTCAGATTGCAAGGAGAAGCAGCATATAATTTGGATTATATAGTTCAGTAGCAGATCCTGCAGTTTCCATGCRCTGTTTCTCCAAAGCACTTGGCTGCTGCTCCCTGGCCTGCTCTCTCCTAGTCACCAGAGACTCTTGGAGGTGAAATGAAGCAGTACATAGGAATGTGTTTTGTGGTTTTCCAGGAGACCTCACCAAAGCACAGTAATGCCCTCAAAACCTTAGTTTCTCTTGCCCTTAGAAAATATGTCCGCTTGCAAAGGAGCTTACGGTGGAACACGAGCCCACGCCAAAAGGCTCATCTTTGGGGTGGCACCWGTGTTTCAGGGACTTCAGCTGCCTGGCTGATCTATGTTATCTAAATGAGATCTATGATAGATTTTAGACATCTTTATGATATCTAAAATATCTCCTGTGCATAAAATTATCTACCTATCTTAAGGTCTCTGCACAGAAGTTCTTTAGGAAATAGGTAGAGCAATTGCTAGTAAGGGAAGGAAGAATAACAGATGAAAGTCATAACAAATATGCTTAGTTGCCATGAGTTGAGGTCAATGCCTTACACAAGTTGTACAGCATTTGGAGATAAAATAAGAGAGATAAAGAAAAATAAAAAGAGGAGATAAAATAAGAACTATGCTGAACATCTTTTAAGCTGTCTATGGGGGGTAATATTTTCTCACTGTCAGTATTTTGGCCAAAATTGGAGGTAGAAATGCTGAAGGGGAAACTGTTCTTGCAGTGCTCCCAGCCAGATGGAAATAGGAGGTGTTGGAAATCAGCTGGAAATGTTTTTCTACAGAAAATAACACATCAGAGTCCTTGAATTTTTCAGGTTGCCTGGAACCTCTGAAATGTAGAGGGGATCCTTGTTGCATACGCAGAAGAAGGAACTTTCGCATAGGGCTGTCTCTGAGAAATAGGTGGTGAATGACAAGGTGCTTTCCAGACGTTGTCATTAGTGTTTTATAACATTTTCCTCCTCTCCCTCCCGTCTCCTCAGTTCATGACAAAAAACCCCAACAAGCGGCTTGGCTGTGTGGCATCACAGAACGGGGAAGACGCCATCAAGCAGCACCCGTTTTTCAAGGAAATCGACTGGGTCCTTCTGGAGCAAAGGAAAATCAAGCCACCCTTCAAACCTCGGATTGTAAGTAGCAATTTGTGTGTCATTCGGAGAAACCTGCGCCTGTTCATTCTCGTTGTTGGCTGTGTTGAAACATTAAACTCCTTGATAGAGAATTTTGGGGTTGAAACAATAGTATTCGAATCACACTGAAAAGATTGCCCTGTCATTCTTGCTCTGAAGGTAAGTGGCAGGAAAAGAGTAATGCACAGGGAGATATTTATACGCAGGCACATAAATCATGAGAGGTCTGAGGCCCTGCTTTAATTCTTCTCYTATGTTCCTAATGATACCTTGGTCTGCAAAGTGCTGCAACGGAGCATTTACCTTCCATATGAAGGTTGCTTCAGGCTTGCATTGCCAAAGGCTGGTGGATTTAGTAATGAAAGGTAAAGGAAAGAATTTGTGATTATTAGTATTTCAGCTGAAGGTATATGAAAAAATACATATTCCCCAGCTTTATGGGGAAAAGAAGCATGTATTATAGATAAGTTGATACATTTACTTGTTGCTAAGTAATAACCAAATATTTATATTTTGAATAGGCATGTAGGACAAAATAGGCAAACTTCAGTCTTACATGCAGAAACAACAAAAGCCAAGCAAAAACACTCAATTTTTCTTGCCTTCCTCTAGACAAAAATAATCAAATATTGTAGTTCACCAAATGTCAGCCTTTTAGCTGAGGTCATGTGCAGGAAAATTTGTATTAGAATAGTAAATGAAAATAATTTTATGATAGATCCTTAGAGACCGAGTCACACTTTTTGACTTTGCACCTTTCTAATTATTTCAAATTATTTGTTTGATTTACCTGTGAATATGGTTCAGCTGCTTGTTGTTTCTTTCTTTAGATCATTTATGAAAGTATTAAAAAAATGGGGCTTAACATTGAATCCTAATTCATGAAAGTCAGAGGTAGAGAACTCAACTCTGTCATTGCAGAATCACAGGCTATGGACACACAATACATTTAGCTCTAGTGCAGGAAGAGGCATTTCCCTGAGTTCCCTGTTCGGAGGATGGAAGTGAGGCTGCTTGTGCAGAGGTCGGTCAGAACAGGAGCCTAAAGGCTGCTGCTTGGAGTCTGCTTTTGGAGAAAACTCTCTCACACGTGCACATGTGCTATGGAAAAGCTCAGAAACCTTACTCAGTTTTAATTTGAGCTGCTTGTGTGTAGCTCTTTTCCTCTTTTTATTAAAAAAAAAGACCTCTCTGAATAATTATAGTTGCTTTGTTATCACTGCAGTCTATATTTATCAAAAGTTTGGTTTGTTACCAAAGCAGAAAGCACAATTCCAAACTAATTTATACTTCCTCCCATCCAGCCTGCTTACTAGCTGTTTTCCTTTGATGCTTGAAGATGCACGTTCACGTTGTCAATAGCTATTTTTACAGGGCCCTTATTATTATAGGAAGCAGTTCTTGTGGTGGTGGTGGTTCTTAAAAGTCGGGAGGGATTTGGTCTGTCAGGCCTTCTTATTCATTGCTGATGTAAATGCCTTCCGTATTCTCAGTGCAGCTTCCTTCTCTTCCTGGTAATTATGTCACTGCTGTTATGTTGTAAAACTATTTTTATTTCATTCACTCCTACCATTTTGCTCCTTCTGTCTTTTACCAGTTTCATTTAATGACATTTAAGTTGGGTACTTCAGCTTTAGTGGTAATTTCAGAGGATTTCCGAGCAGTCCTTTGTAAAATTCCCAAGATAACTGGCCTTTTATAATTGTTAGGCTGATTTTATACATTCTGTTTTAATTACATCTTCTTTCATTTTTCTTCAGGCTGCTTCTGTAGGATTTTATACTGCTTCTTCCTGTATTGTATATGCCAACTTACTTTATTCTGCCTAATTTTATTCTTGTAGTTTAATAGTTCCCTATGCTGCTACTTTTCTGAGCTGTTTCTTTACGGCAGTGAATTCAGATAGCATAGGTCTGTTGTACAGGCATCCCTATTATTTTGTGYTCTTAATCTGTTTTCTCTAATATATATTCCATGGTGTCCTAAGCCTGACAGGTTTTCAGACATAGTGCAGTTACGTTATAATTACACTCTGTTTATGACCCATCAGCTGATTCATAGCAGCTTTATAAATTTTGCAACTGTTCACATTTTGTTGTATGGAGATCTGGAAGTTTTTACATGTCCTCTCAAGATTGAACAAATTATTGGTGAGAAATAAGGCCTGATATGTGTCCAGGATAGACAGAAAGGACCATACCGAGAAATTATAATTACTGGTGATGCAATTCTTGGAAATGGGAAAGGAATCTTTAAATTCTGTGTAGGGAATCCTTAAGGCAGTAAAGTTCAAGCTGATCATAAATACCTTAGAGGTGGTTTTGGATACTTGCCAACCACAGGGAAATTGTGCTCACTTTGAAAGATACAGAAAAAGCTGTAAATTGAGAGCTAATGAAATTACAGTCTCCCTCAAAATCTAGATAGAAATTCCTCTCTAACCCTAGTTGTGAGTGTTGCATCCAGAAATATTCATTCCAACAAATAAGCACAACTACTGCAGAAATACATGGCCTGTGTTTGAAATGTGTTTTGGCTTTTAATCTCCTTCAGTACTGATACAGAGCCCATTAAGTGAAAGTGACTTGTAATATTAAAAGAGAATACGAAAATGGCGTTTATAATTTTAGTTTTAGGTGAACCTAGGACTGTGAAAAAAAAGCTGAAACTGGTTTAATAGGCAAAAAACAAACACTCTTGTCTGTACACATGTGCAGGAAAAATGGAATACCATGTACAAATAGTCCAGGGTGCATTTAACCTGAGATTGGCATGAACATATAAAATTGTACTCATAGAGAAATGCACATATTTACACAGATGTTCAACTAATTCCTGACTAGCATGAAGATGACTGAGGGGGAAAATTTTATAACGACTCTGTCCTCTGTCTTTTAACAAATTCTAAAGCATAGTGCTTATGCAAATGAGCTCTGGGTAAAATAAAATCCTGACACTTAGGCATTTAAAAACATTAGGGAAATGGTCAAACATTGAGGTCCCATCACACAATGGAAAAATCTCCCAAGGGAAGTCACTGAGGATTTAGTGCTGAAGCAAATGCTGCTTCCCTTCTGCCTTGCTGTTCCACATGTCCCCAAAGTGCTTGGGTCTGCACCCTGCCTGGCAAACAGGCTTTTTCTTTTCTGATACTTTTTATTCTTGCTTCGCTRTATGTAGGCTTTGTCTGTATCCTCTTGAAATCAATACTGAGATTCCCACTGGCTCCTCCTTGTCAGTCTGAGGCAGCAGGAGGACCATGTAGGTTTTCTGAGGAGCTATACATAATAGTGCAAGACCTCTGCTTCTCCATGGGTCAGGTATGTCTCCACCTCTGCCAACCAGAAGTTTGAACTTTCTGTCTGGACTTCACAGAATCACAGAATGGTTGAGGTTGGAAGAGACCTCTAGAGATCATTTAGTCCAACCCCCCCTGCTGAAGCAGGAACACCCAGAACACGGGGCACAGGGTGGCATCCAGGCGGGTTTTGAAGACCTCCAGAGGAGACTCCACAACCTCCCTGGGCAGCCTATTCCAGGGCTCCGTCTCCCTCACAGCAAAGTTCTTCCTCACATGGAGATGGAACTTCCTGTGTTTGAACTTGTACCCTTTGCCCCTTGTCCTATCACTGGCCAACACCAAGAAGAGCTTGGCCTCAAAGACTTGGGAGAAACTGCCTGGTCATTTATTACCAGATTCTTGAGGGTTTTTTTTAATGTCACTCATGCTGTAGATGTATACAAATATATTCCCTCTTATATCAGAAGTTAATACCATTAATGTGTTTCCCATATGATAATGATTTGCTGMCTCTAATCATGTCTTTGAGGCTGAAATTTCTTTCTTGAATGAAATTTTTAAAAGATGCTTGAAAAGATTGATAGGTTTTTGAAAGTTTGCAAGAGAGCTCTGGACAGAGCAGTCATACAGATGGCTCAGATTTAGATTCCTAGGCAGTGGTAGGAGTGGAACACCAGGTTGTGTTAGATCAAGGCAATGGAAACAGATCTGATGGCCTTAAAACCTGCTGTGAAGAATCTTTGACTGCTCTTCCAGCTTAATGACCTGGAACAGCAAATATGAAGGGATGAAAATGCACTTAGGCCTAGTACTGTGATGCATGTTGTCTACCAGCCCTTCCTTTCCTAAATCTAGATTTAGAAAGCTTTAGAGATGCTTTATTCTTTGGGAGCATTTCTCCTAACTATGGAGTTATTATAAAGGTTAGGCTGCTAGAGAAAATAATGGAATAGCTCTGGGATCTGGGAGGAAATACAGAAATCAAGCAGGCTTTTGAGCGGGTATGTAGAAGACAGTTGATCTTGATAATGTCTCTTGAAGATTATTCCTGTGTTCTTAAAAAAATGATTCTTTGAGTTTCAGAGAGTATCTTGAAACTCTGTTATTTTTCCATGTTAATTTTAACACAGACATGACAGTGTAATTTTATATTCAAGAAGCAAATTCCATCGTAATGTTGGCAGAATTCTGTTCTCCAAAGCAATTTTTGTGAGAGAGTGCTCACTTTGAGGCACTTCATTGCTTTGTTGAGATATTTTGGCTCATATATTTTTCCTGGAGTTTTTCCATTTGGTGAAGGAAATCTCCCTCATCCCTGGCCATGACAGCTGGCTGTAGTTTCCAAAATAATTTATTGCCCATGGACTGCAAAGGCCTTAGTAGTACTCAGTGATTCTCTGCTCTCCATCCTTCCTTCTTTCCATGCCTAAGCTCCTGGTTTGGTTGAATTGGATTATCTCTTTTTCCGAAGCATGTTTGTCAAACTACATATGAAAACAAGGGTTGATTTCTATCCAAGTCATTGATACCGTGTTACCCTTGTCCAGTCTTGCTTACTGACATGATGGGATAATTCTATTTATCCCATGCCAAATAATAAAATACACATTCAAAACACTGATTGAAACAGGTAAGTATTTCACCTTGAATATATGTTACTGACATTTATATTGTCCAAGTTGTTATTTTCTGGCAAAGT